TTTTTCAAAATTATACAGTAGTGCAGTGAATTACATGTTAAATTATTAACAATAACATCACTCACATTTCGTATAGCTTTTTTTTCCTAGTGTTGGCTTTATAATTTAATAACTATTCTCGTAACACACATTTACACAAAAAGTATTTACTTATTTAACCATTATAATTTTAATACCGTAAAGGGGCGCCTTCGGAATCGATCACTTGTTGTAAACGGTCTCTCATGCCTGCGACCATCGACCAGCATAAATCTCCACCACGCATTGACTCCCATGTAGACACAACAAGCTCCTCTAAGTTTGTTTTAGATCTAACATTAGATGAGTCCCAGTTTAAAATCATTTGCCCCCATAAATTTTCAATTGGGTTCAAGTCTGGACTCTTAGATGGCCAATTAATAATTGAAATATTGTTTTGTGATGCAAACCAATCACTCACTACCCTGGCGCGATGGACAGTACAGTTATCTTACACGAAATATATGTGAGAGTCAGGATAAGCAATGCGCACTGTGCAACATTACATCACGCAATAGTTCGACATATGTGTGACTATTAAAACGACCACCCACTTCAAACAGTTCCCCGGGACCCATGGATGACATCCATCCCCAATACCCTAACTTTATTCTTCCACTTGATCTGTTTAGTAAAACGTTCACTTCGTTATAACGTCCTCCTCGTCGTCTCCATAAAATTTTGCGACCGTCTTTGTCTGACTTAAAAGCTTTTTCATCGGTAAAAACTACAACATTATCTTGCCAGTCGAAGTCTAAATACTCTCGTGCGAAACGAACTCGATCTTGGCGATGGGCGGGTCTTAATTCTATTTTTCTAGCTGGCCTGTATGTTTTAAAACCTGCAGCATGTAAGTGTTTTCTTACAGTTTTTGTTGATATCTCATGAACTTGAGCAGTTGATCGCGTAGTAGCAAAGGGATCTTCAATATGTCTACTGACAACCCCTCGATGACGGCTGGATGCAAACGTAAACATCACCGGTGTTGGGCCCGGCTGGTTACGATGGACACACCCAGTCTCTCTATGGCGCTTGATCCATAGCTTGACAGTATTTCTCTGAGAACAAACAATTTATAACACCGTATATTAAGCCGTCATAATTTTGTTTCGAATTTAGATTATATTTGTAGATTTATATTTTTTAAATCTAATAATTCGTTAAATCCATGGCATGAGAAGGGGAAGGAAAAGGACCACCTTTTCGAAAAATTGAAGCCACTGTGACAAATATAAATAATAATACTTACCGCTATATGGAGGCGCCTCGCAATTTCCTTTATTGGCACATCTTGTTCATACAGAACAACGATTTCTAATTTCAATAGTTCAGTTAAGTGCGGCATATTAAAAAAGGAAAGAAAACTTTGGAATCAATTAAAAACAGAAAAGATAATTAGGATACGTGGAACACAATGCGTCAATCACAGAGGACACGATCGTATGCAAACTGCAGAGCGATTTCATGATTCGTTTAATCTATACTTACCCACCCTACGCATTATTAATTATTATCTACCCATCTCAGGCAACTATAAAGCGATGATCGCATATTTCTCCGCACCGAAGGAATCGATTAGTGAACGAACATTGTGCTTTATGTCTATAATATTAACAATTTAAAGTGAAACATCTTTCGTTGTTTTTTAATTATTAATAACTTAATTATTTGTGTTGACTCTCATCGAGAAAATAACGTTCTAAGACATTTCTTACATCTATACTTATTGTTCTGAGGTCTATACAGAGATAAAAAAATAAAATATTATTATTTTTCATGTCGATCAAGATTCGAACAAGATTTGAACCATGAACCTATATTTGCAAAGCAAGTCCTAGACCGCTAGACCACGGTAACCTTAGCTTAGCAGGTTGAAATTTGTATTCTGTATTTAAGTAAGAACTATACGTTAAAGATCAAATTGGCTTAAAAAGATTCTTAAAACGTCATTCGCTAATGATGCCAACAGGAAGTCATGCGAAAATGCATTTTACGGCACACGGATTAAAGATTAAGTTTGTTTAACACTTTTCTCCACACTTTTGTGCTCAGTACCAAAAGGTCGTTTAATATAGTTTAGGGGGTCAGGTATCTTAGGGCACAGAGTGTACTTGCTAGAGTGCCGAAGGAGCTGGACTTCGTAGTCAATTATGATATTTGCTATATCTAAAGTACCTAGTAAATTATTTGCAGTTAATAACCTGCTCCTTAATGAGAAAAAAACAAAATGTGTGAAATTTACAGTACCCAATGTTAGACAGACTTCCACAAACATTATTGTTAGAAACGAAAAATTTAACCTTGTAGATACAGTGTATTTCTCAATATAACTTTAGATGCTAAATTTCTATGCTTCAAATATTCGGCTCAACAGTGTACGCGATAAAAATATACGAAAACTTTCCGACGTCGAAACAGCTAGATTGGTTTACTTCAGCTACTTTCACAATATTGCTTTGGGGTAATGCCGCCGATTTTAATAGAATCTTTGTCATGCAGAAACGTGCGGTTAGGGCAATAAACAATCTGGGCCCCAGAGAGTCTTTGAGAGATAAGTTTAAAGAGATTAACATTCTTACACCAACGTCACAGTACATTTATGAAAACGTTAAGAAAAATATTATTTTTTAACGAAAAATAGTGGTAGAGATAACGTTAATACGAGGAATAAAAATAAACTACCTGATCTTGACAGTCGTCTTCATAAAGTCTCAAATTCATTTAAGGGTCAATGTATACGCTTCTTTAATAACATTCTGATTGATTTTCAAAATTTGCCATTTACGAGGTATGCCATTTTAAAGGTATTTATACTTCTGCGATGACAAAAATCTGTGGTAGTGACCCGTTTGGCTCTTTCAGGTATTCATATTATTCATATATTCATATATTATATGTTTAAATCAAATATTGTAATGATAAATGTATTCAAATGTATATTTACAAAGAGCAACCCTCTAGAGTATCCTGCTCATTATTTTCAGGGAAATCTGCCTTACGAATGAGCAGTAGAGTTTAATCTAAAAAAATATGACGATTTCAAGTGTAATTTGTTTACCTATGAAATAAAGATTATTTGACTTTGACTTTGGTTTATGTTTGCGCGAAACTGCGAGTAAATGTACCAGCATGTTGATGAAATAAATTTAAAATAACAGAACCCGGATTTTTTGTTATTTCATACAATGTTGGTCCTTCTGAGTAAGGGCACAAGTAACGTTTGCCTTGACTGTAAAGTGACTTTGTCTTTGTCTTTATTAACGAACAGAGCGTCCACGTCGTGGCTCCGCCGTAGTTAGCAAATAAATACCTAACGATACATACGCATATAATATACATCGTTCTTTTATGTGGAAAACGAAATGATTTAAACGTATTCTTATTTGTCTCTAGACTTTGGGTAAGTAAGAAACAGGAATAAATCTATAGCGTATAATGAAATACGTTTTTTAAAGAACAGAAGGGTTGCCCTAACTAAACCTAAGACTCAGGGTCGTATTCCAGAACTCTACTCAATGCTCAAGGCAGGACTTGAGTATTGCAGTGAGCTCTGAAAATCATACTCAAATCCTTGCCATTAGGGTCGTATTTCCAGTGCTTGAAATCATACTCAAGTCTGCTCAAATCCTGACTTGAGCATTGAGTACAGTTCTGGAATACGACCCTTAGAAACTCAACCCGTACTCATTAATTTGTTTTGTGATAAGGAATGAAATGACAATATTGGTAGAATGTGAAGAACTCTTCCAGGAGTCAATATCAATATTACTCGACTGTAATGAGCTATGGTAGTTTTTCGCGCATATGATCGGTAGAAACGTAGCATCAAATGTTTCTATTGATCTTGTCATGTGAAATTAAATCGGGTTTAACATACGACACATGATAACAATAAAATTTCATTAAGGCCAACAGTCGACCCCATAAAATACCGGAAAAACCAATTTGCTTTCCTTCTCGTACAAAGAAATAAATGTATCATATATTGAAGGATTTTACTTACCGTCGAAGGAGTCTGTATTGAAGGAGGCTTGCGAAAAGTCGTACTCTGTGGAAGCGCCCATATTCCGGTGCAGCATAGCCGCAACCCTTTCCCGGGCTTCACGTTCAATGTTCATGTCATCCGAGCTGTGTTTCACGCCCTGTCATTAAATTAATTGATTCCTCATTTTAATCAGCAACGTCAATCGGAAAAAAAGCGTTGCCAAGTTTGAAAATTGAATTGAATGGCGCGCCTTATATAGTAAAGCACGTGTTGATGTTAGTCGAATTATGGATTATCGAACTATTGACATGACATTGATAATTATTTACCCTATAAAGTTCTTTTATTCGTGTAATTAATATAATATTTACGGTTAAACATATTAGAGACTTAACTTATCGGCACTAAAGTTCTTGAAGATTTTTGGCTAATAAAGTAGAAATAAGTAGAAAATGTCTTCAGGGATATGTATGTTGATACAAAAGAGAGAACACGAGAGAGCGGAGTCGGCGTTGCCTCCGCGCAGATACCGCGTGCGTCTAACTGTCATGGCAAAATACGCTCTATTTATTTAGCTTTTACTTTTTGACTTAAAAATGAGCGTCACGGGCACGCGGGCGATGCTGGCTTGAATTTGGTCTACGCGGCGACAGCGCATTTGTATTATTCAGAGGAATTTAAATCTTGTTGCCTAGTACACAGAATTCAGATTCGCCATTAATGTACATGAAGGCGTGGTAACTGGGCGCAAAAGCTCTGTCATACGTAACGAATACAATTATTAATAAAATACTTATTTCTACTGATAGCAACAGTGCTCTACAGCGTTTAGTTAGCCGAGTTCACGGACATCGAAGTACATCAGTAGCATATACGGTCATAGCTAAAATACAAGAACTTATATCCCGATATGTACATTTGATGTTTCAGTGGCTACCATCGCACATTGGACTAAAGGGAAATGATGAGGCTGACATCCTAGATAAGGGTGAAATAACAGAAGGGCAAGATGTGAATATAATATACTACTATGCTACTCAGAATTTCTGCTCAAATATAAATTGCTGAAACGTGGAATGAGCATTTCGATATAAGATCAAGAGAAAAATTATCTGGTAGGTATCGCACAATTTAGTGTCAGCCTCTTCGTTTACCTTGATCTGCAGAACGCGACTATGAAAGGAAAATAGTTGCCATCGCGCTAAGAATGAGAACCGGACACGTTCATAAAAAACAATTCTCCAAATTGCGAGTTATGCGGGGTAGTAGAAGATATATATCATTTATTAATGGAATGTGTCCAGCACGAGCAATAGAGGACGGTGAATCTATAGTTTAGGTTAAGATGGAATTACATATACGTCGAATAAATAAAAATTCCTAAATATTAAAAAAAATCCTACAGAGATCATAATTCTCACTGTAGTTGTTAACCATACGATACGCATTTGTTATTTATATGTCGCATGAATACAGGTTTATTTTCGTTCGCGTGCACTTATCTAGCCTTACAGGTAGTTGAACAGCATACATATTTGGGCCTTATTATCGACAAACACTTCACACATCTAAGTGTCACTAACATCTATTAATGCTACACTTTCCATATTGAACTACAAATTACCATATCATACACTTAGAATGTTATACTTTGCTTTGGCGGACACAGTCATAGGTTACGGGCGTAGTAGCTACGGGCGTACTCTCGCAATGCATCTGAGCTACAGCCCTCTATTATAGTACATATAGAACGTATTTAGACAACACTTATAAGTTACAAGTTAGCCCCATTAAGACAATTGTATCAAATACAAATTCGATTCGAATTGACCCAGAAATACCCACAGGTATTTTCCGAAAAATTATATTGCTGTAACGGATTTGAAGTTAAGTTAAATTTAAAGCCGGATTCGAAACCGGTTTATTCTAAATCATTTGCACTACGGTCTAAATTAGAGCAAGAATTAGATCGTTTAGTTAATTTGCGTATAATAGAACCAGTAACGTTTTCAGAGGACGCGAGTCCAATAGTCCCTGTCTTGAAACATGACGGTAGTATTAGGTTATGTGCAGATTATTCGGCAACACTCAACAGACAACTAGTCATAGAAAATTATCCCCTACCACGTATTGATAAGTTATTTGCTAAGCTTCACGGTGGAATTCAGTTCACCAAACTAGATTTATCGAGTGCTTACAATCAGCTGATGTTACATAATGACTCAAGGACGCTAACTTATATTAACACGCACAAGGGCTTGTATAGATATAACCGGCTGGTATTTGGGTTGTCGAGTGCGCCGGCCATTTTCCAACGTACACTAGAAAATATACTGTCAGGGGTGCTTCAATTTCTGGATGACATTTTAATAACAGGCAAAACTAAACAAGAACATTTGTCGAGGCTTCACGAGGTGTTTAAGAGGTTAGAGGACGCTGTGTTGGTATTGAGGAAGGATAAATGTAGTGTCTTTCAGGATTTTGTTTCCTATCTCGGTTTTATTATCGATAAACACTGGTTACATAAATGTCCAGAAAAAGTAAAGTATACATGCGAAAAACCTGAAAATCCGAGCTAAAACCATTTTAGGCCTAGTAAATTACTACAGAAGTTTTGTTAAAAATGCATCTAGTATTCTGGCTCCTTTACACACACTATTACAAAAAAACTGTAAGTGGAAATGGTGCAAAGAGCATGATGAGGCATTTGTTCAAATTAAGGAAATTTTGGCGTCTGATAATACGTTAGCACACTTTAACCCGGAAGCACGAAAAATAATTTTAACGGTGAATGCGTCACCTTCCGGACTTGGGGCAATTCTTTCACAATCGGAGGACGATGGTATCGAAAAACCAATTGCGTATGTCTCAAAGTCATTAAATTCGGCTGAGAAACAGTATAGACAAATCCAAAAAGAAGCAACTGCAATCATATTTGGGGTTCGTAAGTTTCATCAATACCTTTAGGGCAGATCAAAGCCGTTCATTTTAAGGACCGATCATAGGTCTTTTTTGTCTATATTTCGTCCGAGGAAAGGTGTACCGGAAGTATCCGCAAATAGACCGCAGATATATGCATTATTTTTATCTTGAGACACATTGAGAACATTATTAGCGAATTAAGGCGTCGCTAAAATGAAAGCGGAAGCGCGCTCGCGATTCTGGTGGCCGGCTATGGCAGCGCAGCTTGAGCGCGCGGCTAACGCATGCACCGTGTGCGCCCAGCTGCGCCCCGCGACGTGCCGCGCCCCTTGCACGACCTGCCCGTGCCGCCGGAGCCGTGGTACAGGGTTCATTTAGACTTTTTGGGCCCCATGAATAATAAAGTTTACTTGGTGTGTATTCAAAATTGGTAGAGGTGTTCGATGTTAGTAACGGATACGGCTCCAGAATAGTAATCGAAAAATTATACGAATTAATGGCGAAGTTCCGTTTAATTAACACCATATGTAGCGGCAATGGCACTTCATTCGTATCAAATGAGTTAGAGAATTTTTGTTCAAAAAATGGAATCACGCATCTAACTTCCCCCACTTACCATCTGGCTAGTAACGGTCAAGCCGAAAGTCATGTAAAAATTGTAAAAAAGCGTTAAAATCAATTTTGCTAGCGGGAACTAATAGTAAGTACTAATGTAAAATTAAATGTGTAAAATTAAATGAATTTTTATTTAATTATAGGAACTCATTACATTCCTCAACGGGTCAAACACCTGCACAGGTTCTATTTGGTAGAAATTTACGCAGTCAATTGGATCTTTTAAATCACCATCAACCAACACAATGCTCACAGAGGCAGTAAAAGAAAAGCAGTGCTTACAGGTAGGTAATACTATCGAAGTAGAAGAAATATTGATTTTACCGTTGGTGAAGTCATTTTGGTAAAAGTACACTATAATAACAATAGTTATATTTCTTGGGCGTGGTTGCCAAGTGGTTATCTTCGAGGAGTAGCGGGATCTTCTTTATTTGAGTGAAGTACGAAGTGCAAAGAGTTCGAGGAATATTACGTTTATTGGTTACTTCACAATTATGATCTGCTTTTACAATTATACGTATAAGTGATTTTACAACAAAGCCGTAACGCAAGCGATTTGGAGCTTGTGTTCGGAGTTTGGTACGGATACGTAGACTTGTGAAATTTGATGCGAACTGTGGTTAAATGTGAACTGTCCCTTGTCGCGGCGTGTTGACTTTTTATATCGGCAAGCGCGAAGGATGCGTAGCGTCTCCGGTTCGTGTGTCACTTCCTGTCGCCAAAGCTTTTAAGATAATTGTGTCTTTCGCATAGCGATGTGCGTTTATCTGTTGCGTCTTGCAATGTCTGTTATTTCCTTTGATAGGCCTGGTTTGTATTGTAAAGAATGGTATCTTCGTCTGGCGTCGTAGTGTACTTAAGTTTCTTCCTGTGTCGTTATCTATGGAATCTGGCCATGTTGGTGGTCGTTCCTTAACTC